AAAAGGCCTATGAATCTGCAATGCACATTAAAGCAATTATTCATGTATGAATGTTACTTGCAACATCGTATGTATGCACTGACCTAAGTCTAAGTAAATGCCAATCTCAAAGCTACTATTAGTGACTATAACTGAAATCTGACTGGCCTCACATCATAATGATAGTCATTTTCTTCCTCCTCAGCAGACACTCCTGTGTACAGCAGGATTACATTCTCCAAAATTTTCTAGAGCATCAGGAAACAAAAAGTTTATAAAACTAAAGCTGCATAAATGTGTTCTGATATGTTTCATCATATAAATTCTTTTCTTAACCATATTATAATCCTATTAACCCAGGACATGACCTCTTAAAAAAAGAAAGACACACACAACACTGTGTGGAAAAGATTAATTCCAACATCCTTTGGATATGTAAAATGTATAAAATTAACTTTCAGAAGCACCAAAGAAAAAAGACATAAGATAACATTTTCCTATCACTTCCCATATTTCAATTTAAAGAACTGCCTATTATCAATAAATATACTATATTAGTTTTTTTCTTACCATTGTAGTACTTTCTTTTATATAGTATCTACTTCATTATATTCTAATATCATCATTATATTATCTTTCTCCTTTTAAATCCAGCATGATTTCTACATTTCCAATTCTGAATACCTATAACATTATCAATAACACAAAACCAGTATATTGATGTAAGAACTTTCTCATTTGTAACTAAGCACATCATGGAACAACCTTAACTGATGGCAAAACTAATCCTTATTCAAGTAGCAGTCGAAAGTCTTCCTTTATGGCGAGTTGACACGTGACTCCAGAGGTGACTGTTCCGCGCAAAGCACTGGGAGCAGTGTGGACACGAGAAGGGCTTTTCCCCAGTGTGAGTGCGGATATGGTTACTGAGAGTCCCTTTCTGAACAAATCGTGAGGGACAGTATGGGCAGGAATAGGGCTTTTCCCCTGTGTGGGTACGAATGTGCATGACCAGGTGGTCTTTCCTGGGTGTGTCGTAAGCACAGTAGGGGCACTGGTGGAACTTGCTGTTGGATATGATGCCTGTCTTGGCTCCTGTGGCTCCCTTTTCACCCTTCTGACTCTCCTCCCCTGCCTGTAGGAGACGTGTGGTGGTGTGATTACCCATAAAAAAGAGTCTGTGGCTAGCGTCATGAAATTGAATTGAGTATTCAATTAGCCAGTGCAGAAACATATAGGAATATTAGATACAAGTACATAAGAGATAACACAAAAAATAAAAATCAACTACAAAATATTTACACACACATAAAAAAATGCACAATGAAAGTTATTACCAACACACTTGGACGTATTTTTTAAGATGTTTAGTTTTTTTTTCACTGGTAAACTCTCTTTGTGTATATATATATATATATATATATATATATATATATATATATATATATATATATATATATATATATATATATATATATATATATATTATATATATTTATATATATTAATATATTATATATATAAATATATATATATATATATATATATATATATATATATATATATATATATATATATAATATATAATATATATAATATATATATATAAATATATATATATAATATAATATATATATATATATATATATATATATATATATATATATATATATATATATATATATATATATATTTCTGTAATATTCCTTGTTTAAAGGTGCATTAGTGATACTAAACAAAAACAAACAAACAAATAAAACTACAAAATGAGAGGTACTCCCCTACCTTAATTCTAAAAATAAATAAAATAATGGAGCTCTGAACACGCCTGGTGCACTAAACCCTATGGGTGCGCTTATGGATCCTCATATTATTTTTCTGTGTGAAACACTGTGAGCAAACAGGGCATCTGTAGGGCCTTTCCCCAGTATGGATGCGAATGTGGGTGTTAAGACTTCCCTTCTGAATGAACCTGGCGGGACAGTGGGGGCACGAATGGGGCTTCTCGCCAGTGTGAGTGCAAATGTGGTCAATCAAGTGGGTTTTCCTATAAGTGGAATAGCAACAATATGGACACTTGTGTTGCTTGGCGCTGCTGCTCAATGCTCTCATCCTGCACCTCTGAGGTATGTCTCTTCCGCCTCCCTCACTCCTCGCCTCAAGTGCACCCTGTCGGATATGACCATCTTACTCGAGGGCACATAAAGAAGTGGTATTAATATCTCTGGTATAATATGGAGGTTAGGGATATATTCCTTGCAGCAGTTTGCTCTTGGAGACAGCAAGTTCTACCCATAATTACATGTGTATCATAAACAGTAGCATGGTCAGTTTCCCATCATGATCACTCTTGATTTCAAGTAGGCTTGGGAGAGAGGGATAAATACTTGATATTGCCTCATACATAAACAAAATAAATAATAATAAATAATGAATATCTTTTATAATTATATCTTATAAGCTTTTTAATATCTTATTTTACTCTCAGCCAAAAAATAAATCCTTTTAGATTCTACCTGGTCACATACCTCAATATAATCATATAATCTTTAAGATGCCACTTTTAGAAGACAAAATAATCATCCCTGGCCAAGAGTACACAAATATATTTACAACAACACTGAAAGACATCCGAAGATTCTCCAGACACAAAAAAGAGACATGTTCAGTAAGAAAGCAATGCTACATTTAACCACAAAATATGCATTTTATATATAAAGTCAGGATTCAAAGTACAACAAAAGTCTCAAAGGCTTTGTAACTGAAAGCATTGCAGCAAGTGTAGATAAGATCTGAATGAAAATTGATAGTTTCACATTGTAATATAGTCAAATAACAATTTTATTTTACCTTTTCAGAATCTGGAACTATGAAATTATCAATTTTCATTCATACTTTTTTCCTAAATGAATGACAGCTGATAAACCATACTGCCCCAAAAATGAATAATACCATCAAATGTCTTAAAAAAAAACACTGATAAAATACCTTTAGCATTTTAATGATAAATTTTTAAAAAATGTAAATCTTCCATTTCATCAACTCTTTTGTAACAAAGGTCACATGTTTAATCAGAGAAGAATCATTAAAAGATCAACCAATATAAAACAATAATAATATAAAATGACGCCTACATTACATTACAGCAAATGTCTATATATGTATATGTGTATAAACTGAATTCTTATAATTACATTTGCTGTCTTTTCCTTCCTCTTCTCTCTCAATAACATTTCTCTATTTTTCCTTTTCCTCTCCTTACTTTTCTTTATTTTGTAGTTCACTTTCACTTATATCTTTTATCACACTCATTTACCTCTCTCCTCTCCTCTTTCCTGTCCCTTTCCTTTCTCTTCTTTCCTCTTCTTTTTCCCTTCAGTTCTATCCTTTCATCACTATCCTTTGTTCATTTTTCCTTCAACTACTCCTATCTTCTCTCTTCTTCCTTTTCTTCTCTCCCTTTTACTTCTCTCCTCCTTTCTTGTCTCTCCCTTTAACTTTCCTCCTCCTTTCTTGTCTCTGCCTTTTATTTTCCTTCTCCCTTCTTGTCTCTCCTTTTTACTTTTTCTGCTTTCCCTTTCTCTCTCCCTTTCATTTCTCTTCTTTCCACTTTCTCTCTCACTTACATTTTCTTCCACTTCTCTATAACTGTCATTTCTCTCTTTTCATGTTCTCTCTTCCTTTCACACTTATCCCTTTCCCTTCTCTCTCCCTACCACTTCTATTCATTCTTAATATTTGAAATATGTTAATCCAATAGCGCACTGTAAGCCTTTGGCTAACAATACACATATTGCTTTCCACTGTAAGCTCATAATGCCTAAGAGTTTTAAATGATGATGTTGAAAATGTGAAATATTTTCTTCTATTTTTTTCCTTAGTGTAATTTTTTTTTTCAATAGTAAGTATGGTAAAGAAGAGTAAATATATTAAATATATTTCAATAGAATAGCTAAGTAAAATTGCTTAAATGGTACTACTTTAACAATCCATTCAATTCAATTTCATCCAAAGACAAAATTTCTTCCCTTATGAATCAATTTTCATATAAGCTACACATATAATTTCTATGAAAGCTTCAAATATCTTTCCTGTAAATTTGTTTATAAAATAGGAATCATTATATAATGCTGTAGCACAAAACCATCCCAAGAATTTTAAGAGCATTTTAAATAACTAGCAGGACCTGTTGGAATTCCACAGAACAAATAAATTAAAGAGGTACTTCTCCTCTCCTCCTTCTACCTTTAACCTCCTCTCTCCCCTTTTCTTTCCCCCTCCCTCTGCCTATCCCTTTCCTTTTCCCTCTCCCTCCCTCTATCCCATCCCCATACTGCCACCCCCTCTCACTCCCGAAGCTTCCTTAAATTCCTTCCTTCCCTCCCATTCTAAGCTCTACCTCTACCCCCTACTGCTTCCATCCTCTTCCACCTTAACCCACTGACGAAGGGATGATGTTCTATCACATTTTGGTAGACAACCCCTTGTACTATGATATCTTCGCATCATGTGTGGTTGAACCTGGTGTAAGTTATGCAGGATAAACTTTTGTGTACGTACTTGGCTAGTTTTAGCCTTCATGCCTAAAAAAAAAAATTATAACACACCCAAGAGCAGGGTAGTCTCTGTTTCCCTTGCTTCTGATTTTCTCCCTCTTCTGATTTTCCCTCTTGAGCAGCTGTCTCTACATACATAGTGACACATTGTTCAGTATGGCACTGGGGGCTCCTATCATCACCCCCCACCCCCATCCTTATGTCCTTCCCTCCTCACTCATCCCCCTTTTTATCTCTGAGCCTTCTCTCCCTTCCCCCTCCCTTTCCCTTTCCCTTCCCCAGCCATGTAAATAATAAATGTGCATAAACTGTTGGTCTATTGAATGAGTGAGAGTGTGTGTGAGAGAGAGAGAGAGAGAGAGAGAGAGAGAGAGAGAGAGAGAGAGAGAGAGAGAGAGAGAGAGAGAGAGAGAGAGAGAGAGAGTGTGTGTGTGTGTGTGTGTGTGTGTGTGTGTGTGTGTGTGTGTGTGTGTGTGTGTGTGTGTGTGTGTGTGTGTGTGTGTGTGTGTGTGCGCGCGCGCGAGTGTGCATGCGCGTGTGTTTGCACAATTCTTTAATATTTGTGCTGCCAATTATCATACCATTTTCCATTAAAATGAAGTGACTACAACAGTGCAGTAACATTTACTATGATTCCAGGCATAATGTAAGAGTGACAGATGAAATGTACAAAACATGCAGAATTAGAAATGATCATATCTGAACTTTCTTATTAATATTTCAATACAAAGAGTCACCTCTCTTCATGTATTATTACATACACTTCATGATATAACATTTCACTCTTCTTTCACATAAACAAAAATACTTAAATCAACACAGGACATGTTAAATAAAAAGACCGATTATGTTTTCATTATTTCCTATGCCACAAATAAAAAAAAAATACATTAATAAGAAATAAAACATCAATTCCTAAAAATAAAGAAAACACTCTTGCTACTTGTGAATAATGTCTCCAACAGTATATATATCTATATGAATCAGATTTTTCATTAATATTAAAAATCAATTACAGAAGCAACAGTCATTCAGTTTTTTTTAAATGTACTTGATACTTGAGTAACTCAAAAATAAAAAAGTAATCATTACAATGAGTTGGTAATAAAATTAAAACAAAAATAATGATGAAGATAAGATAAAATAATATTTTTTTTAACTCAAAAATACTAAAAGTAATCATTACAATGAGTTGGTAATAAAATTAAAACAAAAATAATGATGAAGATAAGATAAAATAATATTTTTTTTTTTACTTGAAATTTGTATGATACAATATCCATATGAAAAGGAAGGAAGGAAGGAAGAAGGAAAAAAAGAAAGAAAAAAAGAAAGAAAGAAAGGAAGGAAGGAAGAAGGAAAGAAAGAAAGAAAGAAAAGAAAGAAAGAAAGAAAAAAGAAAGAAAGAAAGGAAGGAAGAAAGAAAGAAGGAAACAAAACAAAGCAAAACAAGAGAAAAGAAAAAAAAAAGAAAACAAGAGAATAGAAAAAAAGAAACAAAAAAAAACAAAAAAACTGAATGGCAGCTGTCTCTGTCGGAAATATATAAAGAACACAACACTTACCATCTGCAGTGCCTGTGGATGCTCTGGCAGAGGTGGGCTTCCGTTTATGCTGAAGTTCTCGACTGAGGCTAAGCCAGCTGCAAAGTCATTACTGCCAAGCCACTGTTGGAGGATAGAAAGACATCATTCTCGAGTGGGGAAAATTATGGTCTGCAACTGAAATCTGTGATAAAAAAAGAAAAGAAAAAAGAAAGCTGGACACAGAGGGGCTTGAAGGAGAAAATGGGGGAGGTAGAAGGAACAGAGGAGGAGACATCATTTTAGAGTTGGAAAGATTATGTTGCATTATTTGAATCTAGGAGAAAAGAAAAAAGCCAGAAAAGATTGTGAGAAGGAGGTGGAAGATGAAGGGAGGTGATGGTGCAGAGGAGAAGAGGGAAAAGCAAAAGGTAGAAGATTAGATGGAAAAGGAAAAGGGGTGAAAGAGTCAGTTAGATGAGTATGAGAAAAAGGAAGAGGGGAAAGGAAGAGGAAGAGGAAAGGGAAGGAAAGAGTTAGTACTGAAAAGGAGGAACACAAAAAAGCTTCATATACCTCCTGCATGCCTGAAGGTCCTGCCAATGCCTCGACAACCACCTCTGGTAGTTCCTGAGACACCTGCGCTGGAACACCTGGATGACTGAACTCCTTAGACGTGCCTGTGTGCTCCTCCTGAACTCCATCGTGACTGTCTGGGTCAGCACTGTCTGAGGCTGTGCTATAAGTGACACTTGGGTCTATAGAGTTATTGTGACTTAGTTCGGGATCTTCCCACACTTCCTCTTTAATGACTATAGCCTCTTCACTTGTATCCTGTAATACAAAGAAATACTTATCTTATGATATAATGATAAAAAACATATTTTGCCACTAATAGGAATGGTTCAAATTAAATTTTGAGTGAAAGTAACATTGAAGAATTATTAGCACTAACCTTTGAGGGATTCCCTGCAGCTGACTGTTCTCGTAACTTCACACCTGAAAGCATGTTTGGCTCTTCGGGCAAGGAATTACTGGCCGTAGGTTCCCTGTGATGGAGAGGTTCTGCCTCAGATTCACTGCCTCTAACTGGCTCTAGATACAACTCTCTTCTAGATCTACCTTCTGATGTATTAAAATCTAAATTTTCTTCACCGTCTTTGGAATATGAGGATAACCTGGGTGAATGTGCACTGTGGTTTTCAAAGAGTTCCCTGGGCGATGGTGAGCTAGTGTCATCCTGCTTCTTTCTCTTTGGGTGTGGACTAGCTCTGTCATCGGTAGGATCAACAGACTCTCTTGACTGGGGGCTTCGCCTGGCATTTCTACTAGTAGAATGTGTGTTCTTGTCTCCCTGTACTTCATCCGGCACAGCCAAGCCTTTAATCTGTAACAGCTCAGCTACCTTGATCAAACGAGAGAGATCCTTCTGTGCAACGCTCACAACACCAATATACATGTAACTCAACAGTGCCTCTAATTCATCGCATTTGACATCTTGCAGCAGGACGATGGGGTGCTTTCCGAGTGTGTGGTCAAACATCTCCTCAAAATACTGACTGCACGTGGAGAGAACAAGCTTGTGCACAGGGTAGAACTTGCCTTCACAGGCCAATGTTGCATCTGTGTATCTGTCCTGAAATGAAGAAATCATATGTGAATTGAATGTGCAAAATGCATCCAAGGAAAGAAAAAAGAAAAAGAAAAAAAAATAAGACATGATTAGTAACATTACAAATATTGCAGTTGTGCCTTGGTTTAAAATTATATATAGATAAAATCTGTCCTATAACTTTGAAATATACACTTTGTTATATTTTTATACTCAAAACATCAAAAAGAGTACATACTCAGTAGAAGTTCACTCTCTCTCTCTCTCTATATATATATATACATATATATACATACACACATACATGCATACATACACACACACATATATAAATACATACATACATATATATATATATATATATATATATATATATATATATATATATATATATATATATATATATATATATATACATATATATATACATATATATATGCATATATATATGCATATATATATGCATATATATATGCATATATATATACATATATATACATATATATATATATATATATATATATATATATATATATATATATATATATATATATATATATATATATATATATACATATATACATATATACATATATACATATATACATATATACATATATACATATATACATATATACATATATACATATACATATGTATACATATGTATACATATGTGTACATATGTATACATACATATATATATATATATATATATATATATATATATATATATATATATATATATATATATATATATATATATATATATATACACTTATACATGTGTATGTATATACCAATTTAATTCATCCCAATTCATGACTCAAACCCATTCCATTCAATACATATACCAATTCCACAACTCCGTAACTCATAGCAAATTTGGGTCAGTACCTTGTGTCTTAGGGCTGAAAGCATGTGGCAGAAAGTAGTGCTGTGGTTGTTCCAAGACAGAGAGAGCATTCCATCCGTCATGTTGGAAGGAGTTTCTGGTCTTGTGTGTTGATCTGGAAGGGAAAGAAATAAAAAGTAGTTCATATCAATTGTTTAAGTCATTAACAAGAGGAAGGGTGGGAAAGAGGAGAGGAAGATAGTGATAACAATTAAAATTATGATACTTATGAGAATGAAGACATTGAAAATAATGGTGATAGTGATAGTGGCAGTGACAATGACAATTACAATAGAGTGGAAGGGGAAGAAGAAGAAGAAGAAGAAGAAGAAGAAGAAGAAGAAGAAGAAGAGGAAGAAGAAGAAATAGAAGAAGAAGAAGAAGAAGAAGAAAAAGAACAAAAATAAATACAAGAACAAATACAAAAACAAGAGGGAGAATAAGAAGTGGAGGAGGAGGAGGAAGAAATCAAAGAGGAAAAGGAAACAAACAGAAAGAAGTGGAAGTAACTGAGAAGGATGAAGAGGATGAAGAGGAGGAGGAGGAGGAGGAAGAAGAAAAAGAAGAGGAACAGGCAGAAGAAGAAATGAAGTAGGAAGAGGAAGTGAGAGAAAGCAAAATCTGAAAGGAAGAAAAAAGGACAACAAAGAAAAGAAATAGAAGAGATAGAGGAAGAGGAGGAAAAAAAAAAGGATGTGGAGGAGAAAGAAAAGGAGGGAAATTAGTGAAGAAAGATGAAGCATCAAATTAAAAGAAGGGCAGGAGAGGAGGGTGAGAAGGAGGAGGAGGGCAAAGATAAGAAGAAAAAGAGAATGATGATAAACAAGAAGAAGAAGAATCAGAGAAGGAGGAGGTAAAGAGGGGTGGATGACAAACTGTCACAGGCAGAAGTAAAAGATAAAAGAAAGGAAAAGGAAATGGAAAATGATAAAAGAAAGGAAACAGAAAGACAAAAAGAAAAGGAGGAGTAGAGAAGCAAAGAAAAGAAATTAAAAGAAAAGAAAGAAAAAAAGGAAAAGGGGGAAAAAAGAAAAGGAAAAAGAAAAACGATAAAAGGAGAGAAAAGGAAAGTGAAGAAATAAGAAAAGAAAAACTCATAAAATATATAAAATAGAGAGAGAGAGAGAGAGAGAGAGAGAGAGAGAGAGAGAGAGAGAGAGAGAGAGAGAGAGAGAGAGAGAGAGAGAGAGAGAGAGAGAGAGAGAGAGAGAGAGAGAGAGAGAGAAGGAAAAAGACAGCCTGAAAAAAAATTGAAAAAGGAAAGAAAAAAAAAAGATAAAAGGTAAAGAAAAAACAAAAAACAAGAAGAACTGAGAAGGATAAAGTAGAAAAGGAGAAAAAAGGAGAAAATGAAAAATAACAATAATAATATTCACTGACTAACAAGAGGTAGGAACACTTGTCTTCTAAGAATAACTGTGGCATAAATATAGTTAATAATAGTGAAACTGATAGTGGTAGTAACATTAATGGAATAAGTATTAACCTATTTCTTTTTTCTCTTCCAAAAATGAAAATGCTTATGTTTACTTATTTACACAAAAGCCATTCATTCTCAGTTACAAAAATGATATGTAAATTAAAGGTCTATTTCATAGACGGTTTCTTTTATCTAAAATACTAATTACAGAACAAAGGGTCTATCAAAATTTAAAAACTAGTGTAATCCAAATATCTAAAATTATCAAATAAAACAGAAATTCATATAAATATTTCTAACAATACAGAAAACTAAACATAATTCCCGAATCTTGCAAGTTTCATCCAAAAATCTCTCTTTTCATCAAATATTTATACGAATTTGTCATCAAATCAATAAGTAATTTATATGGAACAATGATCTATAATTACAAAAGCATTATCCATCAAAAAAATAAACCAACAACAAGATTATTTCAGCCTAAATTCAGACGACACACATGACCATTATAAAGCTTACTAATAAAATGCAATTCCCTTTAAATAGCTATTCTATCTTTTTCTTTCTATTCAATTCTATCTCATCTTTCTAACATATTTTTGAAAAGAATTTATCCTTTTCTCTCCCTAGATGCACGAGAAACAACTGTCATGCATCAGTTTTCAGCTAAAAATCCAAAGAAAATCGGTTATAACAACACCTGTGGCTATAACAACTAATTACTATCATTAATAACTTACTTTATTACAAATTGATAAAATAATACTAAAGAGCAGTTCGTAATAAAAGCGATTCTGGTTCCAATGATTTCACAGCGAAAACCACCTGTGTAAGATGTCTTTTTTTCTTTCTTTTTTTGTTAATAATGTTATATCGGTATTATTATAAAATGCAAAATCAATGGCATTTTGTTTAACAGTTTAGTTGTATTGATTGTATATTATTTTTCTTTTCTTTTGGGGGATTTTTTCGTATCTTTTCGACTAGACGAATCTATGTGAAAGGATTTTTTTCTGTGTATTATCCTATTTCTTTGCATTTTATTGTATATTCCGTTCATTTCTAATAATCTTTGAACGATTTTCTTTTCTAGTATCGAAATAAAGCGAATATAACTTCAAAGAAAAGAGAAACTGAGAGCACTATCGGAAAGAGCGTGAACGAAAATTAATGAAAAACGGAACAGTAAATAAAAAGAATAACTCTAATCCGGTTCCGTTCACTATCAAGTACAAATTGATTTAATCCAAAGATTTATTTTTTATTTATACGAAATACCAAAGTTGAAATAAAGTATGATATCTTAACTTTGCGAAATACACTTGTAGAAGTCTTCGTTATAATTGTAAGCAAAAACAGCAACAACAACAACAACAACAATTACTACTGCTACTAATAATAATAATAATTAATATAATAATAATGATAATAATAATAATAAGGATAGTAATAATAATAATGATAATAATAATAATAATAATAATAATAATAATAATAATAATAATAATAATAATAATAATAATAATAATAATAATAATAATAATAACAACAACAACAACACTAATGATGATAAGAATTACAGATTTTTTTTCTTTGACACAGAAAGACAGACAGACAGACAGAGACAAACTGTCAGACAAAAGAAACAAACAAACCTACAAATAGACAGCGACAGAGACAGACAGAATTTTGCTTTCATTGTATGAATGACAATGAATATCTTTAAAGCAAGATATTCATTTCTGTTAATAATTGCATTCTTGTTACGAAATTTATTTTGTAGACAAATTATCACGGTGGCAATAAACTATGATAATGGAAAAATGATGGTAATATTAATGATAGTAATAAAAAAAGTAATAAAGACGATAATAATTATTATTACTCATCATACTAATGAAGATGATGATAATGATGATGATGATGATGATAATGATAATGGTAATGATGATGATGATGATGATGATGATGATGATAATGATAATGGTAATGATGATGATGATGAAGATGACAATAATGTTAACAAAACAAAAACAACAACAACAATAACAATAAATGATAATAATAATAATAATAATAATAATAGTAATGATAAATAATAATAATAATAATAGTATTGGTAATGTTGATAATGATAATAGTAGTAAAATTAATAACAGTATTGATAATAATAACACCAATAATGATGATGATGTTAATGATGATGATAGCAATAATAATAATCATCACTATCATTACAATGATCTCGAACAACTTTTCAAATCATTAAATTTTCCTCGATGATATTTAAACCTCAAAATAACTCCAAAAATGCGTCTGCTTTTTGTGAAGTTCAGTCCTGTTTACTTTTCGAAATAAATAACGGTATAACTGAAGAAAATATGGATGAAATGAGGACAGACGAGGAGGCCACTAAAGCCCCAGGAATGGAGAATACAGAAGAGTCATTAAAAAGGCTTGAAAAGAAATATGAAGATGTTTTGGAGAAATACAAAGAATCTCAAGTAAGCAGATTGATCATTTTTTTACTTTCTTTCCCTCCCGTCCTTTTTTTATTTATTATTTTCTTGTTTTTCGTTTATTGTTTGTGTTTTATTTGATGGTTGTGGTTTCTTATTGGGTAAATTTCTTTTGATATATTAGCAATATTCTGATGGGGGGGAGGGGGACACAGAAGGCTTTCATTAACCAAATCCTAAAGTTTTATCATTTTCTGGACGTTATATTTGTTATTGTTATTATGATGATGAATTTCATACGGTAATTATATTATTAAATATAAGCAGGATGGTTATTGTCTTTTCTTTTTATCATTATTGTTCCGTATGATTATTTTTTTATAACATATATCTATAGTCATTATTATTAGTTGTTGATGTTGCTGTTGCCTCTACTATTACTTTCATTCCACTGCCATTTCTACTATTATAACTATATCTATTACTAATACTACTATTTCTATTCAGTAAAGAATCGCTCTTATTATCAACATAAAGAAAAACACAGCTCAGGTATTGCATCTTCATTTCCAACGAAACCTCACTGAACAACAGTTTTTTATTTGATTTCATCTAATTATTGTTTTTTTCAAATATTTAACTGCCAGAAAGACGGAGAAAAGAAGAAGAAACACGAGAAAAAAGTCCCTGAAGTAAGTCTTCCAAATCGCCTGCCAAGAATGGTTAGTATGGTGGTCATTGTTACTGTTTGCCTTATGGTGATTAGTGATATTATTATTATCATTATCATTATTATTATTATTATTATTATTATTATTATTATTATTATTATTATTATTATTATTAGCATTATCATCATTATTATTATTATTATTATTATTATTAGCATTATTATTATTATTATCATTATTAGTGTTATTAATTGGTGATCACATTAATGATATTCTTATACACTTGGCTTTATCATTAGTGCTATTTGATAAATATAATCATTAGAGATATAAGTGATCAGTTACATGTGCAGGACTTCAATATCCCACGCAGTAATTGACTATATACAGTTCACTCTATCCTTGCTGTCTGTGCAGAGGGCACTTGTTCCTGAAGCAGTTTGTCGTGCGCTCTTGCCGGTGGTGAATCGCTTAAGTTCGAGACTCGTATCTCTGTGGTATATAGCGTATGTCTGTAATTCACATGTTTTTTTTTTTTTTTTTTTTTTTTTTTTTTTTTTTTTTTTTTTGAAAGCTGTGTTTTAAATAAAATCAGGCTGTAGATATTGGTCGGGGTCCACAGAATGAAAGGAATGCTGACCTAGCATGACCGGTCAACCAGTATTGTTCATTTGATGTATCTCATGCAGGGTACATGAACATCACTCATTCATGCACCCACGCACATTCCACGCAATAGAAACCCACTCTCATGTTACCTCATGTCTGTAATTGTGCACGTCTGTGTGTTATCGCCTGTGTTTGTGTTTATATATGTATATATATATATGTGTGTATATATATATGTGTGTATATATATATATATGTATATATATATATATATATATATATATATATATATATATATATGTATGTATATATATATATATATATATATATATATATGTGTGTGTGTGTGTGTGTGTGTGTGTGTGTGTATGTGTGTGTGTGTGTGTGTGTGTGTGTGTATGGTTATATATATATGTATATGTATATATATATATATATATATACACACACACACACACACACGCGTACACATACACACACACACACACATACATATATATATATATATATATATATATATATATATATATATATATATATATAATTTCCTCAAACATAAAATATGCAATAGTAAAAAAAAAATAGAATAATCTATACAATTGTTGCCTCTCTCCACGTGACAAAAGGAAGTCCGAGCCGACGACCACGCAAGCGACGTCGTAGCAGTGAAGACAAACGTCTCTCTGCTGCAGAGTAAGACGCAGGCTCTGAGCTCTGCCTTGGCTCTGGGAAAGAAGAAACTGGAGGAGACGAAGGAGAAGAAAACCGAATTGCGGAAGCAAATAAGCGTGATGGAGACGAGAAAGAACTCACGGAGGACCAAGATGGACATGGCCATGAAGGCGGTGGAGAAGATGAAGCCGCTGGTTGACGAGTTGGAGAGGTGAAGGAGGGTTGGAACTCGTTTGCGGTTTGTGGGATACAGGGAGGGAGAGGGAGAGGGAGAGAGAGGGGGGGGGGGAGAAAGAGAGAGGAGGAAGAGGGGAGAGAGAGTGAGAGAGAGGAGGAAGAGGGAGAGAGAGAGGGGAGGAGAGAGAGAGTGAGGGGGGAGGAGAGAGAGAGAGGGGGGGAGGAGAGAGAGAGGGGGGGGGGAGGAGAGAGAGGGGGGGAGGAGAGAGAGAGAGAGAAGAGAAGAGAGAAGAGGGCAGAAGGGAGATATGACATAATCATATACATACGTGACTAAAATGTTAAGAAAAATATATATGATTGTAAATTAACTCACTGCAATTGCAGGGATGTTACTCAATATGAAGAGAGACAGACTAAGATGGAACAAGAGAATGTAAAGATTTGGGAGAAGAACAGAAAACTGGTAATTTACCAGGCTGAAGCCAATAAACGGAAACTGATAAATGAAGAATTGGAGATGAAGGATCATTCATTAACGAGAAGATCTCAAGAACTGAAAGAAATTTGCCAAGAATTGAGTTCAAAAGAGAAGGCTGCCATGGAGAAAATAGACATCTGTTATCGTAAGGTGGGCGTTTTAATCTTCTTTCCTCTCGTATTTTGGCAATGTTCTGTATCTGAAGATTTTCGGAAATATTATTTGTGAATATACGTAAAAGTTATGTCGAAATAATCTTTTTGTTATATATGTTTGTAAAATCCTTTGTTTCCTTCGTTTTACCCCTTTTTTAGATCAAAGAGGAAGAAACCACTGCCGAGATCGACACGGCATATGAGCGAAAATGGACCAAGGTTCACGAAAGTCTTGGCCATTGCGATCGACTGATAGAAATAAGCAACCTGGAAATTCAAGAACTGAAAGACAACACGCCCATAATGACTGGAGATCAAGCAGACAAACAAGAACAAGAACCAGAGAATCAGGAAGAGAACGAATTGGTGATTATTGAGTCTGTTGATCTCAAATCCAAGGAGGTGAGTGAATCGCCCCCACTAGGGAGTGATTCTCCTGTTATCGAAGAAATTATCCTGAATGATTGTCCTTTATTTATAGATGACGGAATAGATGACTCTCCTATGTATGTGGAAGACATTTCTAGGCATGATTCCCTTGTCTCAACAGAAGATATTATAGATATTACAGAGTGAAATGTCCAACAAATTCTCCCAAAAGCTACAAGATGCCTTTTCAAGTAAGCCATCTGCCAAACAACGGGACATTTCACCCACGGTGTAGATATTTCCTAAACAATCCCTGGAAATCAGTAGCAGAAAATGAAAAAAATATTGAATGGGAAAATCTGTTTGCTTTGTAAGCAGACAACAGATATTTGTTTCTTTAAAAAATAAATAACATTAAGTTTTATATGTACTGAAGCATAATATAAAGTGTTCTGATATAAATACTTGTAAGCTGTCTAACGGAGATTCAAACTTATTAATAAAAGTTCATTTTTGTTCAGTTAAGACAAATTTAATTTAGTAATTATGTCTGTTTAAAGCATATCTAAAACGGGAAAAAAAATTATTTGTATTTTACTGAAGTATTTGGTACTATGGGCATTGGTACTATTCATTGCCATTTTTTGTAATATTGCTGTATCATAACATTTTTTCTGGTGTGTGCATGATTGTATTTTGTTTTGGGAAGAATTAAATTTTTTTTGTGTAGTTTATTTTTTCACAATTTCTCACTTACTGTAAGATCAGCCAGCAAAAATAATTTCCAATAAAAATCCCTTCAGAAATATTCATCAGATTTTTAGATTTCACATCCTAGACACATTTGATTCTGTTGTCCCCCTACTGTAGTTGGATATGTAGGGCGGGGGGTTGGAGAAAGGGGGAGAAAGAAAGAGAGAGGGAGGGCAGTGCGATGAGAAGAGAGAGAAAATACAGAAGCCAGGAGAGAGAAGGGAGAGGGAAGAGGAGAGAGGAGAGAGGGGAGAGGGGAGAGGAGAGAGGAGAGAGGAGAGAGAGAGGGAGAGAGAGAGGGGGGAGGAGGGGGAGAGAGAGATAGCAAGAGAGCGAGCAAGCAAGGAAGAGAAGGGGCAAATTGTTAGCCAAAAGAATTCATAATTAAATATAAAACAATATTGTGAGGTGAGGAAAAAACAAAATTTATTATCATTTTAATTTTTTACACAAAAAAAATATTGAAATAGAAAAGAAAACCCTATAAGCTCTTACTCTAAATACATTTCATATTTATCCTGATGGCAAAGAGAAGGTAAAGTCTGGTGATATGAGCTATGCCACACGGCCATCCTGATCACTTCTCACCCCCTGGAGGTGGTGGGGGCAGGGGTGGTCTTGGCGGAGGAGGGGGTCCCATCCCTGGGGGAGGAGGTCCACTCGGCCCACTTGACACAGGCACTCCAGGAGGAGGGGGTCGCATGCCAGGTCGTGGAGGAGGACCAGGAGGCATCGGGCCCCCCGTTGGAGGTGGGCCTGGAGGAAGAGGGGGCCCCCCACGCATGGGAGGTCCCATTCCTGGCATGGGTGGGGGTCCATGAGGGCCTCGAGGTGGATAGGGTGGCCTTCCAAAGGGTGGACGTCCAGGAGGACCTCCAGGAGGAGGTGGTCTCCAGCCAGGAGGAGGTGGACGCATTCCTGGAGGAGGAGGCATGCCTGGTGGGCCATGTCTTGGTGGAGGCATTCCTGGGGGAGGGGGCATCCCAGGCCCTCCCTGCCATGGTGGGGGTGGCATGCCAGGCCGGGGAGGATACCCATAGGGAGGTACTGGACCGGAATTTCCTGTGTTCCCACCTGATACTGGAGGAGGACCTGAGGGGGGAAGGGGTGGTTGTCCTGGAAGGGGAGGCTTGGAGGGGGGTGGGGGCATAGGGGGTAATGGTGGGGCAGACCCTGGTGGTGGAGGTACTGATGTGGTGGGAGGCGCATTGGGCAGGGGTGGCACAGACGCTGATGTACCAGGTGGGGGAGGCACAGGAGGAGGAGGGGGCACAAGCATACCCGGGGGTGGAACGGACATTCCAGGTGGTGCACTTGAGGTCACCCCTGAAGATGCTGGAGGAGGAGGGGGTGCAGGTGGGGGTGGTGCTGACTGTGTGGGTGGTGGAGGTGCGTCGGCAAACAGCTGGTGAGGCTTGTCTGCCTGTGAGAGAGGGTTCTGAGCAGCCAGAAGACGTTCTGCGGCCGTTCCATGGCGCTCCCCCTTGCTGTCCTTCTTGAATGCATATGAAATGCTGATGGACCGGTTGCACAGATACTGGCCATTCATTGCCTCAATGGCAGCATCAGATGCTTCAAAGGAGGCAAAATTAATAAAGGCATAGCCTTTGGAATTGCCTGTGTCTGGGTCTCTCATGATCTGTAAATATATAATGAATATATGAATGAAATAGCTACAAATATGTATTCTGTTCAATCTCTATCATTAACATATTTCATGTGATGCAACCAACTGAAGGGTCATGATGGATCATTTAAATTTGTAATGTAACCAACCAGTGGGTTGAAAGTAGAAATTCATTCATATTTAATTTGCTTCTAATATTATGAGACTTACTTAGAGATTAGTTTATATATGTTCAAGTATTTAGATGTGATACAAAATATTATGACTAATTTTATATTAACCCAATTGGCATGAATGGCAAGAATACATGCCATGCACACTATAACATATGTTTATTTATTGTAATTACACAGATGGCTCTAGAAATGCTTAATCACCAAAGAGTTAGTTGTTAGTCCTATCTCACCTGTTTACCCTTTTCCTTGATTTTTTGGAAAGAGTCTTATATTTTTCCATTGTCTTAAATATTACCAGGACTTTAATAACAATTTAACATCAAAAGTGATAATAACAGTATTGACATCAATTGTATTAAAAAGAAAAACACATTTTCCCGCCAATTCAAGGAATGGGGAAATCAGGATCGGTCACAAAGGTCAACTAATAGACTCCTTGCTGGCAGAACACATGTGGAGCCATCTGTATGTAACAAAATTCGCAAAAAAATACAGGGGACAGAACATAAATCCAGGGTGGTTGGGTTAAAATGAGAAACACAAATTTAATTTAAAAAATGATATCATTCTTTTAAAGAAATTGTCAAAAGTAATCATATTTATGACTGAAATACCTGTTTCCTTTTAAACTTGCAAATTATATTTTTCATTTTCATAAATAAAAAAGGTTGCCTGCTGCTTGAATTTGGTGATTTTACAGTAAGACCCTCCACACTGAATGCCTGAGTAATTAATGACCGGTGGATTGCATCTCAGACACATCTTTCCTTTTTCTCTCTAAATGCAATTTGACCCACTGGTGCAGCTACATGTTTTTATGCATCCAAAACTTGGTAAATAGCAACCAAGTACCTCTTCTTATGCTAACAGTACAGCACCCCACCCCAGTTGGGGGGTCTGCATCATTGCCAACTGCACAGAAAGTGTTAATCTAAATTCCACTATATTTTCAAATGAAAAAGTTTTAGGTCTACAATCCATCCCGTAACAAATCAACATTAGCTCTGAACAGTATGGTCAGCCCAATGCCGCCGGGGAAAATGAATAAAAAATGGGGGAAATGCTGTGCTCATTTTTCAAATATTTTTTTTTGTGAAATGTCTCTGCACGTAGATGGCTCTGCTAGTGCTTAGCCACAAAGGAGTCAATTAGTAGAACTTGTGACCTTACGTGATTTGAATTGGCGGGAAAAACTTATTTTTATACTAGTGCTATGAATATTGATGGTGTTATTTTTATCATAAACTTTATACTTACTATAATGTTATAAACATTAGTAACAGCAAAATAAGATAACATAAAATGTTTTCATAAATCAAGGAAAAGGGTAAACGGGCGAGGCAGGCAGTACTCATAACTGGCTCATTGGTAACTTCGTAAAAGTGTAGCCATCCATGTGTAAAAACAATCAAACCAGTAAACTCACAGTGGGCATAGCACGTATGTACACGCCATCCCCCTTGGCACTGGGTTAAGGATGAGCATGACGTTGAGGATGATGAGGAGGAGGATGAGAGAGGAATAGCTACACATATTTTTTTCAATTTATAACCTTGATCTAAAACCCACTGTATCATCAAATGAAAAGCTTTAGGTGCACAAATCTTTCTAAACAAGGAAGAGAAAACAGGAGGAGGGGGAGAAGGAATTAAGGAAGAGGGAGGAAGGAGGAGGAAAATAAGGACAAGGGAGAAGAGGAAAAAAGGAGGAAGAGAAAAAGGAGAAGAGGGAGAAAAAGATGGAAAAAAGGAGGAGGAGGAGGAGGAGGAGGAGGAGGAGGAGGAGAAAGAGAAGGAGGAGGAGAAAGAGGAAGAGGAAAAGGAGGAGAAGGAGAAAAAGGAAGAGGAGGAAGAGGAGAAAGAGGAG